GAACTTTCCGCCCGCCGCAGTATGCCAAGAGTAAACCCATTACACTACAGGGGAACGTTTATCACTACGGGGGTGGGGAAAGTATAATTAGGGCAAGTGGATTCTGTCGCGGTCCTGGGCCTTGCAGTAGTTGGGCCCAGAACTTTCAAAACCTTATTTCAGGAATGTTCATCAAATCACTCGAAATTTGCTGCGGAGCAGAGTACATGAAATACTTCTTAACTACGACATTATCTGAATCTTAAGGTTTTGGATGGGCGGCACTTGCGGCTTGTCCCAGTAGTGTTTGCACTTCTGTCCTCCAAGAGGATACCAAAACCCCTCAAACCCTGAACCTGAGGCCTTAGATCCTAAACCATGAGAAGACAGCCATTCCTGGGAGCAGGAAAAGATGTAGAAGACACGGATATGGCTGCTTGCAAACATCATGCCTCCCTTTCTGCGGGCCTGCATGCTATCTTGGGTGGCGGGCCCTCAGCTCTATACCCCAAACTGCCCTAAACTCAAATCCTTGGCTGCTTAGCCGCATGCCTTGGGTCATTTCCCCTGAGAACAACTGTCACCACAATGGCCAACAGGAGTCATGCAGTATTAGCCCCCTGAATCAGACCCCTTAAGGGACAGTTACTGTGAGCGGGAATGACACACCCCAGCTTGAGCTAGACCTCCGGCTGACACGCGATTTTCCGTCCGAACTGTTTTCCAATCATATGGAGCGCACTGAGGGGGGCTGAGGACCCTCCAAAAGGGTTTCAGAGAGATATGGGGAGAAAAAGAAATCTAAAGGAAATTGACTTAGTCCACGTCTTGTATGGTTTATAAGTACACTTTTGACCGGCAACCCAAAACCCCAAAACCCCAGACCCAAAAAATCTAAACCAAGGGCTCTTAGTCAGCCAAGTCGCTAAAGCAAAGGAAACCATCTCGGGGTCGTTCAGCAGAAACTGCAAGGGGTCGTCGAACAAGCCGTCTCGTGCCTGCAGACAGTTTAGGAGTTGGGGTTTAGGGCTTGAGGCTTCGGGTTTCATGTTAACATATCATGAACACATGGGGTGACAATAAAATGTTGCTGCCGAGCTGGAAGAGCGCGTTTGTTTTGAAACATGTTCGGGGCCCAAGAAAGCCTACACAAGGTCCATCGGCCATAATCATGGCGTGGCAATAATAATCTTGTCCGCCCGAAAGTATCCCGATTTCAATAGATTCCCTGCTATTTGTACTACTAGTACTACGAGCTGCACGACCTGGTCCTACTCCAACCGCATTCCCCCCCCCCTTGGTAGACCAAAAACGCAAAACAAGATCTGGGGGGGAACGGATTTTTCGTTGTCATGCTAACATTAGGGTTTAGGGCTTGGTGTTTAGAGCGTAAACCTCAGGGTTTAGGAGACAACACGGAGAAATACAAAACTGAGAATTACTTTGACATCATCCCAGGCGCGCCAAGATTGACGAAACTGCGGAAGAGGCCGTTGCCTCTTTCAAACCACCTGGTTTGAGGTTCAGGGATTCGCAGTGACGGTTGGGAGATGTGCATCGCCTATGGAAGTTCAAACGAAGACACGAAGTCCCACTTTTGGAACTTACAGCTTGTGTTGTTTTGGTTTTGACTGGAATTCAGGCGTTGACACATCCACCTGAGAGGGCGTGTCTCCAAAAGGCAGCTGTGATCTACATTAGAGTACCTGCAAGATCACTCGAATTTCGGGGAGGGCACAGCAAGTTCATGCTGCTAGGGGACAAGAACAACACAGTAATCCTAGGATGGTATCCTCCGCGCCTCAAAGTGTGATAGTCACGTCGATGGGTCCTTGTTTTGGGGGTTTGGGCTCACTGAAAGCCCATCAGTAAACAACCAAAGCCATCCTTGCTACAGCGTCTTGATAACTTGCCTTTACGGACCGGGAGGCTCTACAAACGGCTGATTTCTCAATGACACGTGTTTGCTTGCTCTCTCAGGGCCTAGACCGTGTGCATTCCTGCATAGCCTTGCCCAACCCGCCTTCAACCCTAAATAACATCCTCGTGAACCCCTGAACCCTAAAATGCAAACCAACACTCTGGATCCCCCCCCCACTCCCCCCAAACATGCTAGAGTTCCTCCGATGAGGGTTTCCAAGAGAGAAACCTCACAACAAAAGACTCCCACGTAGGACTTGGCCGAAAGTACGTATTGTTCCCAAAATGCCGGGAGATTCATATGGGGACCTGCATTGCAAAAGGAACACCAGTATAGGGACCCGAATTATTTCATTTCAGACCAATCCTCATGTATGGCCTTTGGGCCAACCAGGGTACTGCCGTGGTGTCGGCCATAGCTCTCGCACGAGCCGCCTCTTTGCAAAAACCAGGATTGCAGTTTAGTAGGGTTTAGGATTTGGGGCTTGGGGCTTAGGGTCTGGGGTTTAGAGTTAATTTAGGGTCTAGGGTTTAGGGTTCGGGTTTGGGTTTGGGGTTTGGGTTTAAGGTTTAGGGTTTAGGGTTTGCAAAGCCCGATTTGAGGTAGGGTTTGGAATGGTTTGGAGTTCCGGGTCTAGAGATTCAGGGATGAATGGTTTTGGAGGTTTATGAAGGCATTTAAGTACTTCGACTGAACTCGGTCTTCCTAGAAGATCAGGATAATTATAACCCACTTGAATCCCTTTTAACACCTATAATATCTCTGCCAACCACTACTGTTGAGGGAGGAAATCTTGCACAATTTAGGGTCCCTCAATCACTGTATTTCCTTAAGGGACTTCGGGTGGTGCAGAAGATCCTCCATAAACAATAGAAAACAAACCTATAGGATTCTCCAGTGCCCCTGACCTCTGGCTGCACGCACGAACGCCCAGCGCGCCGAAGAGCACGAAAGCGCGGACGATTTTCCAGATAGTGGTTAAGCTCCCAAAGACCTGGAACGTTAATAAAACGCCCCAGTTAAGCTCTCAGAGACCTGGCTGCTCTGGTCCATAGGAGGAATTCGAAATTTAGAAGCAATATATGCAACTCTTCATGATGGGCTTCTTATGGCAAGGTAGAGGGGGAGTCGGTCCTTCCGCCTTCCTATCATGCTTTAGGATGATTTCCAACAAGCCGCATGTGAACAAATTCCCTGATAATTTGTCCGAGCACGGTTTAGGGCTTAGGGGTTCCAGTTTAGGGTTTGGTATTTTGAGGGAGTCTAAAAACTAGATTTGAGGATGAGGGGTTAGGGGTTAGCATGATTGAACAAGTGAGCCGCGCCAAGCAGAAACAGGCTGTCTGAAAGTTCCCAGCTACCTTGCGGGGTCGCCTCTGCATACCTTACGGCTGGCTGGTAGGCAAGGGGTTACGTGGGGGGGTTTGCAGAAACCGTTTAAGGGTCCCCTTATGTTGCAACTCCTAATATCTTGGCTAAACAATTGAAGTGGCACATACTTGTTCACAATTTTGCATATAGCTCCTTATTGAAGTCCCTATATAGTCTACGTAGCTGAAAGCTGGGACTGAACCCTAACCCTAAGCCGTGCCAGCAAGATGCGTGTGGAAAAGGCGATGGTAGAAGACGGGATCCTGTTCAGCATCGTCATTCACGCGTGCCGGATGCATCAGCGGGGGGCTGGTGGGCAAGGAGATTGAAACCTTGGATGTCTCAAAGACCCAACCAAAGAACAACGCATGGTAAAGGGTTGGGGTTGAAGGCTTAGGGTTAAAACAGCGCATCCAAGATTTCACTTGAAAAAGAACCTTGCAAAAGTCTGCTCCCAGAAGCCATCCGCCCCTGCTCTGTACCCACGAGGCCCATCTCTTCCATCTCCTCTAAGGCGTTGTCGCCAAGGACTTGAAAGGTGTCGTAGCCTCGGTTTTGGGGGCTTCGGGTGGGTGATTAGGTCACAAAATTCAGGATGCTGTAGCTGAGGGACATATGCATCTTAAATAGGCGTGCAGGAAAGGAACTCAAACTTCCAAGCTCTAGGGTTTAGGGTCTAGGGTTTAGGTTACAGGGTTGGAGTCCAGGGTTTAGGATACAAGCTTATGTCTCCAAACACAAACAAAACCCAGCATGTTTTCTGGAATACTCCTTGACTACGCAAATCCTCCTACACTAGGAACCCTGAAGCCTCAGATCCCGAAAAAGCTTTTGCCGCCCTAAAGGATAGACCCTACACCCTGAACCCTAAACACAAAAAACCCTGAAAGCCTCGAGAAACCGAAAAGGCAGCGCCGTCCGAACTCTGATGAAGCGCAGGGGTCAACTGAGTTCACAACGCCATTCACGGAGAAAGACCTGCAGGGGCCAGGATTTGTGGCTTAGGGTTTTGGGTTTAGGGTTTAGGGCTAAGTAACCATATTGGAGAATCAAACAGACAAAAGTGAAATAGAACAAGCCGCTTCAGGGCTTAGGGGCTATGTTGGGTTGTGGGCTGTGACGAATTCAGGGTTTTAGTGCTGTAGCGCTGAGGGGTTTCAAGGTTTGAGGGCTTAGGGCTGCAGGCTATGAGTGTTAGGTTTCGGGAATATTACAGCATAGTCCCTAAACCCTAAACTGTGTTTGGAGAGTAGATTCCCAACAACGACCCAAGAGGTAGCATTTGCTAGGAACGGCCTTGTCTGCTAAGCATACTCTAGGGTTTAGGGTTCAGGGTTTCCTGTACTGTTTGGAGCGTCTGCTTAAGGCACCGTAAACCGTATTAAGGAACCCGGGGCCAGAATATTGGTAATGATTTTGGTCTATACATTAAACCCAAAAAACCTCTACCTCAGGGGCAGAAGAAAGCCATAGAATCCACTGGTTTCCGTGTCGGTGCGACAGCATTTCGAGTCTATCAGCTCGGTAATCTCAAACTTGCAGGCGCTGCCCACTGAGTCCTGTTAGCTGCTGCAAATTTATGCTCCTCCCCCCTAATACTGAAGGATAGCATATAATGACGGCAACGTCTATGATTAGGGAATGAAGGTGTTTTATTGTGGGCAGGGAGTGGATTAGTTTAGGTTTCGGCTGCCGGGTTTTGAGTTCCTAGGGTTGTGTACGGCTTCGGGTTGAGGATTTACAGGATTGGCTCAAGACTTTACTTGTTCATTCAATTGCCAATTAACCCTAAACCCTCAACGCTAAACTCTCAAACCTATAAACCTAAACCATAAACGCTCAGACCTAAACCCTAAACCCTCAACCCTAAAACTGATGCTTCTGTTGGTGCTCTGATCTTTTCGGTACTGTGAAACTCCAAAAGTTGTTTGAGGTTTAGGGTTGAGGCAAGCGCATGGACAAAACTTCCACAAAGCTCCGAAATCCTTTTCCCACATATACCCCAGTATCATGTAGCAGTTTCCATTTTTTTATTGTCCCGATACATTCCCAGTAGTAGTTATCAGGTGGGTACCTTCTTGGGGAGGTCTACGTGGACCTCAGTGTAACCATACGAGCCTTACATAAGCTATTTGAAACTTATCCCCCGAACCTAAAGCGCGGAACCTCTAAACCCCGAAGCTCGAAAAACCCTCCTGGTAGCAGCATTCTTCCAGCAGCCGTGATGTCTCCAAACTCAACAGCTGGCTACACCTGGTTTGCTGTTAATGAATTTAAAGCAAGGGTGTTGGATTCAACTACTCTAGTAGGGGTCTTAGGATTCGGGGGTTTAGGTTTAGAGTTTGGGGTTTAGGGTTCGGCTGTTCAGGGTTCTGGGTTCAGGGTTATCGATAATGGTAACTCAATCTAAGTTTCTTGCCCTAAACCCTAAACCCTGAATCCTAAACCCAACCCAGGCGCCATTCCACCATTGGAAGGCCATCGCGGACAAGGGACGACATTGCGGCTGACCAGGCCCCCGTGCGGTTTGGGGTTGAGGGTTTAAGGTTTGGCGTTTAATTCTTTGGTTTGGGGCTGAGCGCTTAGGATTCAAGCTGTATCGCTTTCGGGCATTGGGCTTTTTGAGTTGTTGGGTGGCTTTAGAGTTTGGGATTTACTTTCGGGGTTTTACAATTGTGGCGTACAGTCTGTATCATGCTGGATTTGGTGGAGCTAGGGGAGAAGAAACTAGTAACCCTCCAAATCATCAAGCCTAATTGCTGCCTAGAGACCCCAGTTGACTATACTCAGAGTGCACTATACCCTAAACCTTCAAAACTACACACTACCTACAATCAACGGGACCTCAAGGTACCTTACCGCCTTTGGACCGTAATAGTGGCCCAAACCTTTCGGTGTTTAGGGTTTAGGGTTTCAAGCCCCGTCTCCCACAAAGTCCAGGACAGTCCCAAGAACCAGGAGGAAACTTTGTTTTGTTCCGTCGACTCGACCAGGTACTCTGGTATGGAGTGACAAGTTGCGTTGGGGGGTCAACAAATGGAATCGGGTCTTGGGTCAGGGAGTTGAACGTTGTGGGCTTGAGGGTCTGAATGATATCAGATAGGGTTGTGGGGTGTATACTATACCAAAACGAACCCCAAACCCCAAACCCTGTACCCTACACTATACCAAAATGACGAGTAGGTCTAAAGTGGATAAGCTCCCCTTTCCTCCAGGCTCCTCCATCGGAAGCCTCTGGTGGAATGAGAGGCCTTCAACCCTTAACCCTAAACCTTGAACCATGTGGCGCACTGCAGCGAGACTGCACTGGTTGCGTATGCCAAAGCAAGTATGAAGAAAAAACAGTGAGCTTTACACTCTTAATAACATTGTAAGGTTCGGGGACAGATTCCTAAGGGCCCAATTAACAGCCCTATCCGCACCAAAGCTTCCAGACACTGAAGGACTCTTGCGCACAAGAAGAAGTAGTAGTAGGAGTAGCAACAGCAACTTGATGGGCTGCTCATGCGTTGCTGCAGACAGCAGCTTAAGAGGAATCATGCGGCTTCATTTTCTATGTCTATGTTCCTCAATGAACCGCGCAAGGTAAGAAGCCGGATCAGAAAGGATAGCCCCAGGCAGGACGTTACAACAAACATGCTCTTGCTGATAACAGCCGCCATCACAGTTGGATCTACTACAACCCACCTCAAAACCCGTGAACCCCAAACCTGTGGCTCTGAACGAAGTGGGGACCTTGAGAACTGGAAGGCTTTTGGGACCTAGCATGTACATATGCTCGAAATATAACTCTTCTTATAGTCCACCTTACTGCCCTCATGATCCATAACTCAAGGATGTCCCAGGAACCTCCGAGAATCTACTTACTGGTGCTTCAGGGGGAGTGGCGGAGTGAATATAGGGATTCTTATGGGGGTACTCTGCATGTAGGAAAATCTTGCATCACCTTATATACCTTATACCCCAATAATTACACTATTTTGGGACTCCAGAGTGGTGCAAGATTTCCTCCATCTACTGCTTATTTATGGAGATGATGATTTAGGGATTATTAGAAGGATCCACTCCCCACTCTCCCTAAAGCCCCAGTAAGTCGTCTAAGAACCTCCCTTTTCCTGCCTGGCTCATCTTTGGAGCTGCAAAGTTTGCAGGTCAGGGCTCTGGGTTTAGGGTTTGGGG